TTTCCAGTTTACATGGATTTAAGAGACTTCCACGAGAGGGTGCAGCAGTTCAACAAAATGCCACCTCAGCCAAATGAGCCTGTCCCCACTGTGGGCATATTTCCACTCAATTTATGTATTAGCTCGTGTATTTACAACAGCTTCCAAACTGGATGGATGCTTTAATTAATCAGTTTAATGCCCCAGAGCATCTCTCCAGTCTGGTACTTTTTAGTGCACTGTTGTTACCCGGTCTCAATTCCTGCCTGATAGCCTGCAAATGCTCACTGCATGCATTTTAAAAATAAAGTTTAGAGGGTTTTTTAAAATATTATTGTTTTAGTTGTGAAGCATCCTTGCTTTGCCCCTCAGACTGGAACAGCTGCAGAAGGAAACTCCATCTAGAGAGCTGAGCTGTGGAGAAACTGCTCATTTGAGTGTGACTGATACCACTTTATTCTGTTTCTATTCTGTGATAAATGATTTCTTGTTCCAGAAGATAGCTGGGAACTCTCAGTAATGATTCAGCTTCCATGGATACTGTTGCTGTCCTGATGTGCTGGAAGCATTCAGATGTTGTGCTGCACACATGGGCCAAGGGTCGAGGTCCATCCCTTGCCTGGGACACTAAAATACCTCTGCAGAAATGATTAACTCTTAACAAATTTCCAGGAAAAGGGCCCACTTTTGAATAGTGTTCCTCGTCCAGATTCGTGAATCAGAAATCACTTCCTGAGATAGGATGGTCTGGTAGTGAAATAACCAGGTGTGGTGACAGTCCTGTGTAATGTACCACTGGCTTTCCTGAGAAATGCTGCTTTCACCAAACTTAGAAACAGAATGCTGTGCTTTGGAAACTTTTAGCTACTAGTATAAGATATGAAAAGAAAGGGAATTTGAGACAAAGGCAGTGACTGTGCTGCAAGTGTAGAAGTTGGGTCTGGATTCAGAAGGTTTCATTGATAAATGGGAGCCACAGAGATGAACAGAATGAATCAATAGAACAAAAGTAATGAATAGAAATTCATTAATGAATGAGTCTAATGAATGGAAGATTTCACCTTGACACGTTTGGACCGTGCCATTTCTGCCCTCCTCATCCTGAGGACAGAGCACAGCAGGTGGAGCCCAGTAGGTGTCAGTCCAGCCAAGGCTACAGGTGTGAATAAAGCTTTGCTGCCTCCTCCCTTTTCATTGGTGACATTGGTGGCATTATTCCACCCTCACAGAAACACAGCCAGCACTTCAGAGGTTCTCCTTTCCCATCTGTTAATTTTTAATAAACGTCTGCATCACTGACCTGTCTCTTCCCGGGGTGCTCACCCACCCTGGCTCGCTGGCACAAGGGTAGGGCTTGGTGAGGTATTTGCTGGTGATTAGCATTTGTGTCAGGCATTGGTATGGAAAAGCACAAATCCAGGCATTGGGAGCAGCCCTGAGGAGAAGGATTTGGGGACTCAACATACCCTGAATGGCCATGAGCTCTGGCACCCAGAACCCCTGTGATCCCCCAGCGTGGACAGCAGGAGAGGGGGGTGTTCTGCTCCTCTGCCCCCTCAGGTGAGACCCCCCTGCAGAGCTGCCTCCAGCCCTGGGAACAGCACAGGGAGCACGTGGAGCTGCTGCAGAGAGTCAGAGGAGGCCACAGAGATGCTCCAAGGGCTGGAGCCCCTCTGCTCTGGAGCCAGGCTGGGAGAGCTGGGGGGGTTCACCTGGAGAAGAGAAGGCTCCAGGGAGACCTGAGAGCCCCTCCCAGAGCCTAAAGGGGCTCCAGGAGAGCTGGAGAGGGACTGGGGACAAGGGATGGAGTGACTGGACACAGGGAATGGCTTCCCACTGCCAGAGGGCAGGGTTAGGTGGGATAGTGGGAAGAAATCCTTCCCTGTGAGGGTGGGGAGGCCCTGGCACAGGTTACATGGAGAAGCTGTGGCTGCCCCATCCCTGGAAGTGTCCAAGGCCTGGCTGGATGGGGCTTTTTGTTAGTCAGCAGCACAGAGCTGTTTGTTGACTTGTATAAAACACCAGAAAAGGACAATCAGCCTTCCTGTCCTGGGATGTATTTTAGGGAGTGAAGAATGTTCATTGTGCAAAGGTTGAGGTAGAAAAGGAGGTTTCCAGTCACGAGAAAAAAATGTGTTGGAGCCTGAGAACTTTGTTGTTTTAGCACAAACATTGAAGTCAGATGTTTCCCCTCTTTCATCCCAAATCAAGTGTGCATGCTGATTATCCTGGATTTGCAAGGCAGAGTTGTAGATTGCTGCATTCACTCTGGTGCCCTTTACCATCTGAAGGAAATAATTAAAGCTTGCATTCTCTTGCTTAAGATTTAAACATGTATTTAAAAATGAGATCATGCTTTCACAGTGGTCAGAGTTTCTTCCTATATTTGTGTGGGGGAGCCTCAGAAATGGGTGTACGAGGGTCTGGTGTGCTGTGATGTGTTTCCTTTAATTATACATTTGTTTGGAGAAGGATGGTTATTGCAGCCTCCGTCTTTGCCCGGTTCCATCCTCCCACTCCCCCTGCAGCGGGAGCTGTGCCCACCCCAAGTGTGTCGTTCAGCCATATGTGCCTCTTATTTATACCTCATGCGTGAAATGAGCTATTCCAGAGCGGTAATTTCTGTTCTGGTGATGGCAGATAAGTACGTGTGTGTCTGTGTGTGTGTGTGCAGCTTCCGTCCCTGCTGAGGATGTGACACATCGCCCTCACCCTGCCCCGCCACGCTCTGCTCGCTGGGGCCACGCAGGCTCTGGCGCTGCGGCTGCTGCTTCAGACACTCAAGAGTTCAATTAATTTACAGATGATAATTTGTTTTCAGCTCCTGCAGATACAGATGCCACCTTTACTGAGCCTCTGTTGTGTCATTCTCTCTCCAACTGCATTGGAGAGAGGCTGTTTACAAGGGCCTGGAGTGATAGGATGAGAGGCAATGGCTTCAAACTGCCAGAGGGCAGGGTGAGACTGGATATTGGGAAGGAATTCTTGGCTGTGAGGGTGGGGAGGCCCTGGCACAGGTTTCCCAGAGAAGCTGTGCCTGCCCCATCCCTGGGAGTGTCCAAGGCCGGGTTGGAAGGGCCTGGAGCAACCTGGGGTGGTGGAAGGTGTCCCTGCCCATGGTAGGGGGTGGGACTGGATGGGCTTTAAGGCCCCTTCCAACTCAAACCAGTCTGGGATTGTGTGATTCTGTGAAGCTCCATTTTTGTAATTTGTTGGTAGAAGTGCCATATTCTGCCTGGAGTATTAACACAGCATTTTCCAAGTGCACTGTGCAGCCTGTGCCACCTTAAAATGAGTTTCTTTCCATATGCCTGTATGTTCTGTATGTGTAATTCCATAAAGTCACTGAGCACAAGGAATGAAAGACTGGCTTTTCAACTAAAACAAGAGCACGAGTCGTGGAATCCCAGAATGGTTTGGCTTGGAAGGGACTTCCAACCCCCTTCCATGATCCCAGGTTGCTCCAAGCCCTGTCCAGCCTGGCCTTGAGCACTTCCAGGGATGAGGCAGCCACAGCTTCTCTGGGCAATTAATACAATAGGTGTTCCATCAACACAATTTTTACCTTCTGAAGCTGTTTACTTCTTTATGAGTTACTTTCTTTGGCCAGGTCAGTGCTGCAGATGCACTTGGTCGTGGCTGGTGTCCGTGTGAATGGCTGGCCGGAGCTGTGGAGGTTTGCTCCGGGAACAGGCGGTGATTCAGCAGCCAGGCATGTCAGGGCTGCACGGAGCGGCTGAGCCGCCCTGCTGTGCTCTCACACACGCACAGCCCGACGGGGACAGCACGGCCGGGGACAAAGGGAGCTTAACTCTGCTTTGAACCAACGCCACCTATAACACACTGGGTAAATAAATAGTGGCTGCCTGTAGTGTGTTATCACAGACTGGTTTGGGTTGGAAGGGAACTTAAAGCTCCTCTCATCCCATCCCACCCTTGCCATGGGCAGGGACACCTTCCATTAGATAAGGTTGCTCCAAGCCCAGCCTGGCCTTGGACACGCTTCCAGGGCTGGGGCAGCCGCAGCTGCTCTGGCCAACCTGTTCCCCGTCACGCTCGCTCCTGCCGCGTGTGTCAGGGCGGTGGAGCAGGGCCCGTGCCGGGGGGAGCGTGTGGGTGCCGGGCTGAGTCAGGGTGACTTTGATCGGGAGGGGCCCCCCGGCTTTGCCTCTTAGTCACTGCCGAGCGCGGCCCCGTGCGCTCCGAGCTGCGGGAGGCTCAGGTGCCGTCCTGAGGACGGGCTGTTCCCGGCGCTGACACGGCTCATTCCCGGCGTATTCCCGGCTCGTTCCCGGCGTGTTCCCGGCTCGCGTGCGAGCCCCGCGCACGCAGCGCCGCTCCCGGGGACATCCCTGCCTCCCTCCCTGCCTCCCTCCCTGCCGGGCTGAACCGAAACGCTCGGTGCGTGATAAATGAAACGCGAAGGCGCCTCCTGGCCCGTCGCTGCTGGGGAACGGCCCCGGGCGGCGCTTTCGGTTCTGCCCGCCGAGAGCGGAGCGGGCGAGGCGGGGCCGGGCGGGCTCTGCCGGGACGCGCCGACCCCGGGGGGACCGGCCGGGGGGCGGGGGAGCGGCCCGGCTCCGCCCCGGCCGGCGCTGCCCTGCCAGCGCTCCCGGCAGCGATATTTAAACCGGCGGGGAGCATGTGAGCGGGAGCAGAGCGAGCCGGGGCGGGAGGCGGCGGGATGGGCGGCCGGACACCCCCGGCGGGGCGGTGCTGAGCCCGGGACCCCCCGCACCCCCCGCGCTCCGGCGGGACCGCCCCAGCCCGCGGGCGCTGCTCAGGTGCTCGTCCCCCCCGCCAGCGGCTCTCGCCTCCTTTATGATCCTTCCCGCGGCCAGGAAAGGGATTGTCGTGCGGAGATCGCCCGGATTTGGGTCGGGACGCAGCAGCCGCTCCGGTAGGTGCGAGCGGGGCTGGGCTGGTGCGGTGTCCGCGCCGTGCGGTGCCTGTGCCGGGCCGGGGGTGCAGGAGGGGCGATGGCGTGCGATGGCGAGCTGGGGGAGCGAAGCCTCCCACCCAGGCATCTCGGCTGGGAAAGGCGGCGAGAGACCGAGCATCGCTGCGGGGACCCTGCTCCGGCTCGTCTGGGATGGGGGAGCGCCGGAACGGGAACGCCGGCAGAGCCTCACGCTCGTCCTTCTCGCTGCTTTATTTTTAGAGGCGTTGGGGGATTCGGCTCCGCTCGCTAAGGCAGTTCTTTAAAAATAGCAGCGAAACTTAAATGCTGATCAAGGGAGAAATGTAAATGTTGAAATAGCAGCAAGGATATGGCTGAACGAGATCAGAAGTCACTTGCTCAGCTCCTCGGCACAGCAGGGACTCCTTGAGCCCCGGGAGATCCTCCTGCTCGATGCTGGGGCTCTGAGACCTGGGCTGGATGAAGGGAAACATCCGATTCCCTTCGGAGTTGAGGATTTTTAAACCTTTGGAGTTACTTGAAGGTGCCTTTGGTGGTTTAGAAGGAGAGTTGCCTGCTGTGTCTGTGGAAGAATTACAGATAAACCATTGACTTCGTTTATCTGGCAAACATACACCAGTTCCTTTAAATCTGATCTAAAAATGGAAAAACCGGAGAGATACAACTTTTTTTTTTTTCTTTTCCTGGCAATCCTGACGTGCTGTTTCCCAGGGAAATGGAAAAGCCTTACAAATGAATGTTCCAAAATGAGGAAGACTCAGTGAGAAATTTTCCAGAGCAAATCGTCAGTAGTGAGAAATTATTGCCAAATTTTCTCTGTTCTCTGGGATTTTGTTTGGAAATGAGAAGTTGCTTCGCTTGGGATGCGTTTATCCAGGAAGTAATCCTTAATGTCCTCCAGTCTGAGCGTTGAGGCTACGGGCGAGATTGAAGAGGGTTTAATTAAATGTAATCAAATATTACAGGATTGCTGATTAAAAGGCATAGCGCTTGCTGTTGGTGACGTCCGAGACACACTGCTTATTTGTACCTTAAAAAATATAATTCTGCAGCTCACAGATGATTTCCCTCTCAGTTCCTGAGTAACTATCACCCTGTAGCTTGCTGCAGTGCCCGGTTTTAATTCCTGTTGCCCGGGCGAGAGGTGTCACGGCAGGGTGACGGTGCAGCTGAGTCAGAGGAGAGGGAGGGTCAGGGCACGGACAGGGCGGCAGCAGGAACGGGCTGGAAGCACTGGAATTCCTCTGAAACACCCCCAGGGTTAAATCCTGGCCCTTGCTGAAGTCTCCACGAAGTTTGCCCTGGGTTTACGTGCAGCCAGTGGTTCTCTGGCGATGCTGCCGGTGGAGGTGGGAGGTGGCAGGAGGGAGGATCTGAGCGAATGGAATGGGAATGTGTGGGTTTGCCTCTGTGGTGGGAGAAGAAATGGTGCAGGAATGCCCGGGGTGTGCTGAGGACACTCGGGGCTGTGTGTCTCATGCTCCTCAGGTCCGGGTGTGAGGGAGGCACAGGAATGAGCGCTGTCCTGTTGGCTTTTGTGGAATATAATGAACCAAAAGTGCTCTTGTTTATAGAACATCCTGACAAGGAGGAGGCGTCAGACCATCCCTCTTTCCTGCCCACCCTCGGGGGACTGTGTGTTCGTGCCTGAGTGTCTCAGAGACTTCATGTGCGGGAAGATGAGGAGTGTGGGTTTGGGATTAATTAGCCTGAGTTTAGCTGTTTTCATGCTTTACGTGCCTAAGGGCTCCCCGCAGTCACAGCGAGGGGAGGAGTTTGCTGTTGCTGGCTCGAAATCCTCTCCAGGGGTGATCTTGTTCGTGTCAACCATGAGCAATTAGAGAGATTAACTGTCTTGTTTTCCTTTCTGCCCTAGATTGATTCTGGGGAGGCTCTGGGACATTTGAAAGTGGTTTGGAGGGAGCGAAGTCTGTGTGTGATGGACACCGAACCCAAGCCAGCGTGTGTGGTGCCCCAGGCTCCCTGCCCAGGGATGAAGTGCCCTCCTTCAGAGGACTTTCCTCCTCAGGTGAGGCTGTCTGAGAAGATACCACCAGTGAAGCCTTGCTTCAAGAAGAAGCAGCAAGTGCAGAAGAGACTGGACCCACAGACCCTGCGGGCTTTGCGGCCGATCTTCACCAGCCTGCTGGGAGCTGGGACCTTGGAGAGGGTCTTTGTGCCCCGGGGCCAGGGTGGTGGCCACAGTGATTTATGTGAACCTGCTGTGAAAAAGACTCTGGACCTCAGTACTTCTTGCCCCCAAACAGAAAATAACGTGACTGTGCTGGTGCCAAGAGCTGCAGATGTGCAGGGTCAGTTGCCAGGAGCCCATCCTTCCCCCGGGCATCCTGAGCAGGACAGCCGGTCAGGAGAGCGAGGCTTCTCCCCAGAAACTCCTGGAACTGCTGCTGATAATGGTAATGAATCATTCCAGGATCATCCTTTGCACCCAAGCGCTAGTGATGGTGCAGCTTGTCCTTTGTTCCCTGACAAGGTTCTGGAGAGCTGCACGTCTGGCTTGTTCCAGGAGAACAGCTGTCCAGTGCAGTACAGCTTGAACCCGAGCAATAAATTCAGTGCTGGGATATTCCAGGGTAAGAGTGAGGAAGCTTCTCTGGACCTGGTGTTCGAGCTGCTGAACCAGCTGCAGTATCACACCCACCAGGAGGACGGCATCGAGATCTGTGTGGATTTTCTCCAGGGCACTTGTGTTTATGGCAGCGACTGCCCCAGACATCACACGGTCCTGCCCTATCACTGGCAGGTGAGGAGGACAGCAACCCAGACCTGGCAGAGCGTGACCAACGATTCCCAGGAGCACCTGGAGAGACTCTACTGCAACCCTGACAACGACAGGATCAAAGTCAAGTATCGGTAGGTCACTGAATTTACTCCCTTGCCAGGAAGGGTGCAGAAATAACAACAGGATGTGCCTTCTTTTATCCTGATGTTTGTATCCAAGTGTGTTATAAACCATGGGATGATGTTACCTGATTATTATCCAACGAGTTTAACCCTGGGACAGTGTTACCCGATTAATACCCAACAGGTTTCCCTCAGCAGAAAGTCCGTGCTCACCTATTAAAGCTGTTACTTGGGCACCTGGAAAGTTCCTTGAGGTTGAAAGACTTGGAGCGTGTGAAATAAGGAAACTTCAGCTCTGCAGAAATTCAGAGGCTATTGTGGAATTCTGTGCTTGTTCTTGACGTTCCTAATTAGTCTTTTTTGTGTGTTAGAGAAAGTGGCAGCCTGACAGAGCCTTGGCAGGGCTGGGGCCAGGGATGACAGAGCAGTTGCTTTCTGTCACTGTGAATACACTGTGCACTCCCAGCACACTTTCCATCATTCCATTCCAAGCAGCCAAAATCAAAGGGGGGGTTCTTGTCACTGATAATAAATGGTGGTGTTTCAGCTGATTCCCTGTGAACAACCCCACAACACCAGCAGAAATGCTGATCGTCCCTAAGCTGTCACCTCAAGCATTAAAGCAGTTATTAGAAGTTGTTGTTTCCTCTGCACGGAGTCGTGTTTATCGACTCATTGTCTAAAATTAGCCAGCAGCTGTTGGGTCGCCCTGGTTGTGTTACCAGTGTGGGCTCGAGAGCTGAAACTTCTTCAGCTTTTACGCAGCAGGTTCCCTTCTGAGGAGCAGTGGTGAGGCTCGTGTTTACAGTTCACCAGAACTGGCTGGTGCAGGGTGCAGGCTGCTTTATTTTTCATTTCTGGAGGAAGTGCACAGTGCAGATGGGGCAGGGCAGATAAGACAGAAGTTTGCCAGCCTGGTGCAGCTCGTGCCAGTTCAGACACCTGTGTAGTGAAGGCTTCCCACTGCCTTTGCCATCTGAGTCCTTGGGGCTTGTGCTCACTGCCTCTCCTTCCACTTCCTGAAGGAATTCTATCCCTGCTTCCTTAACATTTTATTTTCATTTACTATGCTGAGGCTTCTCATTAGAGTAACCCAGTAACCCAGTGTAGTGCTTGAAGTCGCTGTTAATGTTTACTCTCACCTAACTTGGATTAGGCACTAAATCCAATCTTTTTCACAGAATCACAAACTGCTTTGTGTTGGAAGGGACCTCAGAGCCCACCAAGTGTCAGCCCTGCCACGGGCAGGGACACCTACCACTATCCCAGTTGCTCCAAACCTCGTCCAGCCTGGCCTGGGACACTCCCAGGGCTGGGGCAGCCACAGCTGCTCTGGGCAGCCTGTGCCAGGGCCTTTTCAGGGATGGCAATACCAGAATACAGGTACCCCCCACTGACAATGAACGAGGTGTAGGAAATAAGAATTACGTGTAATGGGGAATAATCATATTTTTTAAATCTTGTATAAGTGCATAGGAGATAAACTTTGCTGTATTTTACAAGAGAGAAACTTCAAATTCCCCACGTATATGAAACGATTTCTGAAAACAAAACAGCAAAGGCACAGATAAGGCCCGTGAAGTAATTTCAGTTTGACCTCTGTGCAGATGAGCAAGAAGTTTCCTTCTGGAGGCTGTATCACCAAACCCATGGCTGCACACGAGCTCCGTGTTCTGGAGGATGGACCTGGGAGTGATTAATGCTCAGGGAACAATGCTGGGTCACGGCTCAGTCAGCCCAGCCAGGGAAGGTGCTGCCCAGCCACGGCACCGCTGCAGGTTCCGGGCTGGTGGGGCTCGAGGGCTCCTGGGACGCAGAGTTTCAGTCTGTCTGACCCAGCTGGGAGGAGGCTGGGGGGTGTGTGCCAGAGACACGATGTTCTGGGACTGGGAGGGAAGGTGCAGGAGCTGCGTGGGCTCAGACACCCCGGAGTGCCGGGCTGAGCTCAGCCTGACGGAGCAGAGGCAGGCTGGGAACAGGCTGGGCCTGACTCTGCCATGAGTGGGTGTCTGCCAAACTGGAGATTGAGGCTGGATAGAGGGGAGAAATCCTTCCCTGGGAGGCTGGGGAGGCCCTGGCACAGGTTTTGCCCAGAGAAGCTGTGGCTGCCCCATCCCTGGAAGTGTCCAAGGCCAGGTTGGAGCAACCTGGGAGAGTGGAAGGTGTCCCTGCCCATGGCAGGGGGTTGGAATGAGATGGGCTCTAAGGTCCCTTCCAGCTCAAATCAGTCCACGGTTCTGTGATGTGTTTTCTCCAGGTGAAAGCCTACAAAGACAAAAACTGTTTTAACATCAGCATTTTCTAACTAAATTCTGCTTTGAGCTGCTAATTCCATAGCCTGCACTCTCCTTCCTTCTCTTCAAAGTCCTCGTGAAGATCTTTGAGTAGGTGCTACCAAATCATGCCCCAGTGCAAGGTTGGGAAACTGGTACAGATTTATGGTATCCAGTGTTGTGGAACAGGCAAGGGGCAGTTTCTGTAGCTCTTTTGTGTATTCCATCCCTTGGAAGAGCTCTGTGTGTGGGTGTCAGGGAGACCCTAGGACTGAAGCTGTGTTTAAGACTAGAGCTTCTGATCCCAAACTTTTAAGTTTTAAGGAGTATCAGGCTCAGACTTACTGAGGTTTTGAAGCAGGAGGTAAATGTTCTATTACACATCGTCACCGGTTTCTCCTTACGCATCATCAGTTGTGTTTGGAGACCCTGCTGAGCCCTGGGGCGTGAGGGGCTGGGGCTGGGGGTGCCTCTGCTGCTGGTGGGGCTGCTGGGGGTCAGCAGTGGGGGTCAGTGCCACCTGCTCCCCGGTGTCCCCGTGTGTGTGGTGTCCCCTGGCAGCCCAGGAGCGGGGCCTCTCCCCGTGCCGCGTTCCCCGGTGACGGCATTGTTTGTTAAAGCCATTAATCTGCCGTGGTCAGACGGGCTTTGCAGGCCTGTCTGCCCGGGGCAGGCGGCAGGAAACGCCTGCTCAGCACTTGGCATGGCCGGGAAGGGCCCTGTTTGCCCTGCTGGGTGTCCCGGGCGGGCAGTGGGGCTGTGCAGGTGTGACACTGGCACCCAGCGCTGCCCCACGGAGGGTTGGCCATCAGCTCAATTAGGGAATGAGCTCGACATTGTGATGTTCTTCAAGCAGCTATTTATATAAACCTTCCTGCCTCGTCATTATCGAGATGAGTAATGATGGAGATAATGCGTATTTGACATCAGTCATCTCAGTAACTTAAGGTGTTGCCTCTCACCTAAGGGAACGTGATCTGTAACAGGAGAAGTGGTAAACCTTGTTTAGTTACTTGGTAATGCAACTTCTTCAACCACTTCTCACAGCTTGGCCTCAAACGGAATATTTATCATAAATTATATTTTTTGCATCCTTAAGTCTGCCAGGTATGTAGAGCCACATACCAAGCTACCTAAACAAAAGGGGGATATCAACTTAAGCAGGTTTAAATACTCAGAAGCCCTCAGTTTTCTCCATGGATGGGAGGAGAGGTCCTGGAGAAGTTCCAGCTCTCAGTGAAGTATTGGAGAGAGCAATGGCAAGTGCTGCTTCCCAGCAGGAGATTCCCACACCAGGATATTTAAAGATGCTCTTTGCTAAGGGGAAATACTTGGCTGAGGAGCTGAGCAGGTTTCCCCACACACACACACCTGTCTAGTCATGCACATGTTGCTTTTCAAAACAAGCAACATCATTATGGATTACACAAGGATTTGTTTAAAACAACTCTGTGGTTCCTGACCCGTCAGTTCCCCCCGCTTTGGCTGGAAATTCCACCCGTTCTCTTGGCAAAGAGGGATCCCAACTCTCCTGACACAACAGCCTCTCCCTGCTGCTCTGATTTCTTTTCTTTTTCTTTCTCCTGTAATTTCTGAGAGTTTTGTGAACGGGCTCCTTCTAGGTAGAAGAGAAAGGCCAGATGGGAATGGCTCCAGTCAGGGGAAAGCAGGTGGATCCCCTGTGGGACATACCCTGCCTGGAGCCAGTCACTCAGCCCACTCTCCAGGGATGGAGCAGCCACAGCCAGCGGTCATTGGGTCACTCGGGGAGTTCAGAGTGGCTGGCCCATGGAATGGTTACATTTCAGGAGTTTCCTGTGTGATACAAACAGTGCCACAGTGAGATAAGGCTGTGCTGCTGATAGCACCGGAGATGGGGACCCAGCTGACAGTCCTCTGCCTGAGTTTGGGGGTTTGGAACTGCTTTGAATTCCTTGCTGGCAGGAATGCAGGAACAAAAGCCACGTGAAGGGATTTTGGAAGTGTTTGCCTTGTGCTGTGTAACAGCCCGTCAATGGGTTCCTTTTTGCACCACTTTAGAGCATCATTTGCATATGAAATAAAACTAATTGGCTCGTAGCTGTACGAACCTCGGGAAGCTGGGAGTGTGGAGGAGCGGCAGTGCCTCCCATCTCCCTCCTCCTGTTCCGAGTCCATGACAGGTTGCAGTTTTGGGAACAGCTGTCACCTGGCTGCAGGTCGAGGTCAGGCTGTTCCCCGGCTGCTCCGGGCAGCAAAGCAGCCCTCGCTGAGACAAAGGTTGGGATTGCTGCGAGGATTGCTCGCGGGAGGAGCAGCTTTTTTGGGAAGCTGGGTCTGTAAGGGATGATGTGGAACATTCGTTTTGGACAAGGGCCTGGAGTGACAGGACACAGGGAATGGCTTGCCATGGACAGAGGGCAGGGCTACATGGGATACTGGGAAGGAATCCTGCTGCCCCTCTCCTGGGTGTGAGGATGGTGAGGCAGTGATGAGATGGAGGCTCAGACGGTGTTTGGGGCTGATCTTATGAAGACAATATACCTCCAGTGAAGTTGGGTTTCATGCAGGGCTTTAAACACTTGGTCCCTCACCCAAAGCTGGACTCAGCCCTGGGTGAGTCCCTCACCTGCAGTGTCAGAGCTGTACACATCAGGTGAGACACTGCTGATCTGGGGTCAGCAGGGTGCGACTGCCTGACCTGTCTGCCCTGCAGTAACCGAGCCCGGTGTCAGCCCTGAGCACAACCCTCCTCCTGCCTGCTGGGCCCTCTGAAGCTGCTGTGGCCCCAGGGGCCACCGGGTTGCTACTGCTGCAGAGAGGAACTGGTTTAGTCAGAGAGGAAATCAGCAGCTTCCTCAGAGCTGGTGGGACAGAGCTGATGGGGCAGTATGAGCTGGGCTGTGCCACAGAGCTGATGGGGCAGAGCTGATGGGACAGAGCTGGGCTGTGGCACAGAGCTGATGGTACAGAGCTGATGGCACAGAGCTGATGGGGCAGAGCTGATGGGGCAGAGCTGATGGAACAGTGGGAGCTGGGCCGTGGCACAGAGCTGATGGTACAGTGGGAGCTGGGCTGTGGCACAGAGCTGATGGGAACAGGCTCTGGTTTCCTGCAGGGCCCCCCGTGCTGCCGCCTCACTGGTTTTCTGAACCTGTTTGCGGTAAGTGCTGACACGTCCCCGAACCCGGCAGGAGGGCTCGAAACCACATGTATTTTCAGAGCACTTACAAAACATGTTTCTCTGCTGGTCTGTTTGTACATGGCATTTGCAGAGTGTGTTGCCTTACTGAAGGGAGGGAGCCCGGGGGATTTGGGGTGAAGTTCTTCAGAGGGATGAAAGGAAGAGCCCAAACATTCATCTAAAAAATACATCCCTCTTACAGAAATACATCAGTGTTATAACTTGCCAGTCGAGGAACCTACTCAGTTCAGTGTCACAAAGACATGGTATCTATGTGTTATTCTTACATTTGGGGGCACAGAGCAGATATAACTTACTGGAGGAGCCAGGCTGTGCTGTTGAAAGTGCTTGTGGAGTTTTATTTTGAACTGAGCTGTTGTGCAGCACCAAATTTGGGGTTGTGTGCCCTGTTCTTCCAGGAGTTCAATGTGCTCATTCTCTCAGTGCAGATAGTTCCACTGCACTGCTTTAATTTGTAAACAGAGACCTTTTTTTGGTTAGCTGGTGAGGAGCAGTTCTTGAGAAATTTCTGTTCCCACCTCTGTCACAGAGTCTCTGTGGGACCTTTTACAAGGGCCTGGAGCGACAGGACCAGGGGGAATGGCTTCCCAGGGACAGGGGGCAATGGATGGGATATTGGGAAGGAATTTCTCCCTGGGAGGGTGGGCAGGCCCTGGCACAGGTTGCCCAGAGAAGCTGTGGCTGCCCCATCCCTGGAAGTGTCCAAGGGCAGGTTGGACAGGGCTTGGAGCACCCTGGGCTGGTGGGAGGTGTCCCTGCCCATGGCAGGGGGTGGCACTGGGTGGGCTTCAAGGACCAACCCAAACCATTCCAGGGTTCTGGGTTTGGGGTTGTGTCCCCCTGTGAACACCGTGGGTTCAGTGGATCACAGAAGGTGAGAATCCCGTCTTTCCCGTTCTCCCAGGGGCCAGGAGTTCTGCGTGGATCTGAACCTCATGAAGTTGTACGAGACTGCTGAGTTTGACCAACTGCGGCGCCTGAGCACCCCGTCCTGCCCCGGCTCCAGCTCCAGCTGCTTCACCGTCTGGAAGTACTTCTGCAGGGACCACTTCGGCTGGAGGGAGTACTCCGAGGTATCCCACACCTTCCCGAGCCTGTGCTGGGCTGGGAGCCGGAATTCCCTGCACAGTGGGTCACACACACGCACATGTTTGGGCTGCCGGAGAGAGCTGGGCAGAGAGCACCACAAATGACAGCTTGAGGGTGTCTGAGGAGTTTCAGAACTGGGTGTCTGTAGCACAGAGGACAAAGGCTGGCCTTTGAGGGTGTCGTTTCTCACCTGTGTGTTCTCCTCTCCTCGTCTTTCCCGGGCAGCCCGTGGTGAGGTTGATCGAGGAGGCCTCGTGCCGGGGGCTGAAGGAGGTCAGGTTTGTCACCTGGCACAACCAGTACATCCTCAACATCAAGGATGGCTTCCAGCAGAACGCCTGCTTCAGGAGGGAGATCAAGAGGAGGCCCCTCCTGCGCTCCTGCGTCGTGCTGATGCCCTTCCTGCAGTAGGTATCCCAGGAAAATGGGAATTCCCTCTGTCCTCAGGGTTGGCCTGCCCAGGAGAACCCTGTTCCTTGAGATGAGACAGGGAAACAGGCATTGCTGGGTGGGGAAATGGGCAGAGTCACTGAAAATCTGGGTCGTATTTGCAGCTTTGTCCGCTCTCCAAAATAAGATTTACCTGAGGAACTGCTCGCTGTCACTCACATTTGTAATGGACCCTGTGGATCTCAGGACATGGGGTGTGCTCCAGGTCTGCCAAGGCATTGTCCAGCTTTCAGCACCCTGCTCCATGGAAGGTGTCCTTGGCAGGGGGTGGAATTGGAGGGCCTTTAAGGTCCTTCACCCAAACCATTCCCTGATGGGGTTCCTGAGAGTCCCCACCCCGCCTGGTCACGAGGGGAGGGTGGGTTTGGTCACAGCCTCGAAACGTGGTGTTGGGAACATTTACAGATCTGGTTTTACAGGAGGGAAACCCCAAGGTATGAAAGAGAAACTGGAGGGTGCAGGTAAAAAACCAGGGTGGGCCTGGTGGTTAGAGCAGCCCAGTTCTGCACCAAAGCTCCCTTTGTTCTCTTTGTCCCAGGGCCTCCTCATGCTCACCTAAATTCACCAGTTCTTAGCAAGAACAAAAGAGTAGTTTAAATATTCATGGATCTGTCCTTAAGGAGTCAGTGTTGCCTCCACTTCCCACACAGTGATACCTGAGATGTGTTCTTTCCCTCCCCTCCCACCTGCTTAATTCTATTCTAAAACTGGGAAAGAATCCTGGAATAGAAACTGGGGGTGATGGTGCATGACAAGTGTTGACTTTTTAATTGCTTCCCCTGTGGAATAAATAATAAAAATATTTCACACTAGGCAGGAGAACTGAACCAAGTACATAAAGGGTTGCAGGATTTTTATTGGATTTGATGTCTTATTAATCCATGATGTTGGAAATCTCTGCTTGGTCTTCCAGTCCAGTGGGAGTGACTGAGGCCCTAGAGTAACATTTTTTAACCCGTGAAAGGGGGGAAACAAGCTGTGATATTTAATTGCTATTTTAATAATAACTCATACAAAAATCCATCTTCTGGGTTTCTGCTCAGCTGTTCATAACCAGGGAGAGGAACTTTGAGTTGAGTCAAATCCATGCAAATGAAGGGAGGGCTGGTTTTGGCTTGAGCAGCAGGTGACAACCACATGACCACTTCAGTGTTTCTGCCCTGAGAAGTGTGAGGGCTACCACAGTTTCCCATCTCTCTGATCCAAATCAAACGTGTTGATTTAAAAATAGACTCCTTGTTTTCCCCAAAAAAACCCACCATTTTCTAGAATCAAAAATCTCAACCTGCAGTCAGAAAATCCCATTAAACCATTTCTTGGTGGCACACGGCTCTTTCAGGCCCCTGAATCACTGGGAGCATTAAATATTGAGAGAGGCCCACCCTGAAGTGACAGTTCTGTATGTGTGATGTGTGAATGAACAGGGGGAGAAATCTCAATCCTTGATTTCATTCCTGGCTGGCTGTGGGCTTTGGGGACAGGATCCACCTTGTCCTGGCCAGCCAGTGGTGGAAGTACCTGTCAGGGCTTTAAGGGTGGGTTGGTCCCTGAGCCAGTGGCAGCTTTTCCCACAGAAATACTTGGGGAAAATACCCCTAGGTGGAATTTGGAGGTGTTTCCCTGTGTCCTTGCCCGTGCCAGGGAAGCTGCAGGGCTGAGCAGGGGGGCACAAATGCCACACTTGCCTCAGTGTGGCAGCTTCGAGACTCTGAACATCCCAGGTGGGTATTGAGAGCAGAGTCCTCCTGGTGTCCTTCCCTGGGTCCTCCAAGTGGTTTTTTTCTCTGGCACCTGTGGTGGTTCTTGGCCCCAGCTCCCTCCCTCAGCCCTGCTGCTCTCTGGGCAGCATTCCCAGAGGAGGGGCAGGAAGATAACCAACTGCAAATGCAAATCCACATCTGGCCTGTGCAAATGGCAGTAAGAGTCTTCCTGGGTTGGAAGAGACCTTAAATCCCCTCCCGTTCCACCCCCTGCTGTGGGCAGGGACACCTTCCACCAGACCAGGCTGCTGCAAGTCCCGTCCAGCCTGGCCTGGGACACTTCCAACTTAATCTTTTAAGACATGTTGGGGATGAAATAAATGTGATTAGAGGCTCTCGTGTGAGTGTTTAAGCACCTTTTCTCCTCCCCACAGGACCCTGGGCGGCAGCTCCCCGGCGCCCTCCCCCTGTGCTGACCCCGCACACATCTTATCTCCAGCTGCTGTTACCTCTCCCAGCTTCTATCCTGAAACCTGGATTTGTATGGATCCGTCTCAGGACTTCATCCAAGTGCCTGTTCTGAAGGAAGACAAAAGCTATAGAACCATTTATAACCTGTTCCACAAGACTGTGCCAGAGACCAAATACAAGATTCTGAAAATCCTGCGAGTGCAGAACCAGTTTCTCTGGGAGAAATACAAAAGGTAAGAGGATGGAAACACAGTTCTGTGATAATGGATGTTGGTGGAGCAGGAATTTTATAGGGGGAGCTTCACAGTTCTGCCCTCCCAGGGGGTGACACTGAGACTGTCAGAGCCGCGGCCGAGCGACCCGCACCGAACGCTCACCTGCCCTTCCCGTTTTCCCTTCCAGGAAAAAGGAGTACATGTCCAAGAAGATGTCCGGGCTGGACAGGCTCATGAACGAGCGGCACCTGTTCCACGGCACGTCGCAGGACGTGGTGGACGGGATCTGCAAGCACAACTTCGACCCGCGCGTGTGCGGCAAGCACGCCACCATGTTCGGCCAGGGCAGCTACTTCGCCAGGAAGGCCAGCTACTCCCACAACTTCTCCAAGCGCTCCCCCAGGGGCGTCCACTACATGTTCCTGGCCAAGGTGCTGACGGGCAGGTACACGGTGGGCAACCACACCATGCGGAGGCCGCCGCCCGTGGAGCCCGGCAGCGTCACCAGCGACCTGTACGACTCCTGCGTGGACAACTTCTTCGAGCCCCAGATCTTCGTCATCTTCAACGACGACCAGAGCTACCCCTACTTCATCATCCAGTACGAGGAGCTGGGCAGCACCGTCTCCATCTGAGAGCAGGGGCTGCTCCAGCCTTCCCGTTCGAGGACTCCTCCTCTGGCACCGGTTCCTGTGGGGGAACACAACCTGGGCGCTTCCTGACGGGTGGAAATGACTTGGGAGGGAGGAAATCTCAGCCTCTAGGGAAGGAAATCTGCGGTGACCAACTGTGCACTTGCTGGTCGATCCCCTCTGTGCAAATTGTACATATTTTTCCATTGTTTATAGTTGAAAACCTGTGCCTTTTGTTATAAAACACTATTTATGTTAGTAAATATTCATGTTTAAAAACGTGCCTGTGGGTGTGATTTCAGTGGAGTTCTGAGCGTGCTGTGCCCTGATCTCAGAGTTTAAGGATGGACCTTCCCAGGGAACCAGAACTGGATCATTTTCATCCCAAGGATATTAAATAAGAGATTCTCCCAACCACTATTTTTTATTATAATATTTCACAGAGACTGGGAGAGATCACAGAACTCCCACCCTGCTCATACTTTGGATTATTAAACAGGACAATACAAATAGATCTTCTCCTAAAATCAAGAAAATTAGGAAGAGATTAGCATGGTCCATGGGGAGGGGGATGAAAATGTCCTTTAATGTGACTTAATGTGGCTGATATTAATTTAAAATGACACATGAACATTGACAGGCTGGGAGAGCTGGGGGAGTTCACCTGGAGAAGAGAAGGCTCCAGGGAGACCTGAGAGCCCCTTGCAGGGCCTAAAGGGGCTCCAGGAGAGCTGGAGAGGGACTGGGGACAAGGGATGGAGGGACAGGACCAGGGGAATGGCTTCCCACTGCCAGAGGGCAGGGATAGTGGGAACAAATTCTTGGTGGTGAGGCCCTGGCACAGGACTGGTGTCTCCCAGGGACAGGAAGGGACCTCCAGGCTCGGTGTCCCTGTGGCCCAGCAGCAAACTCAGCCAGGCCTGGAGCTGTGCTTCGTGACAACCTGCTCTGTCCCCACTGTCTGGGGCCCAATGAAACGTGTTTTGCCCTGGGAGAGAATTCCCTACTCCCAGCAGCACTCCTGGGTCCTCTCCTGCTGGCTCCCTCCTGGAAATCAGCTCATCTGCAGGTGAGCAGAGGGGGAAGATCCAATCAGCTGGTTCCAGTTAACCCCAGCCCCTCCTGGGGCTCTGCAGAGGAGAGCTCAGGGTGGAGGGGTTTGGTTTGGAGGAGGAGACCATGGCACGGTGGGATGGGAGCTTCCAGCTGGGATGTGCAACACAGAGGAGCTGCTCCTGGCCACAGCTCACCTTCCCAGGGATGGCTGCAGACAGGTAGGGAGCTTGTGGAGGGGGTTGGGGGTGGCTGAATGAAGTCCCCTGTGCCTCTGTGGGATCCTCTGCCCTCTTGGAGCTGATGTTGCTGACCCCGAGGTGTGTCCCTGTCCCTGCCATCCCTGGAGCACAGGGCAGTGTCCTGGGGGATGGACTGGGAGCTGTTCCTGCGGCGTGAGCTGGTTGTCTGAGGTGGTGACAGGACAGGGGTGTCCCTGTGTGTGTTCTGCAGGTGTCAGTGCCCCAGGACCTGTGGCTGCTCCAGGATGGAGATTTCAGATGGACTTTGGAGAGAAGGGCACAGAATAAGGGTTGATGCTCTCATGGCTTTTGTGTTGAGCAGTTCCCCCACTCGAGGCTTCTGAGCAGTTTGGGACTGGGATGAACAGGATGGGAGTGGGAGGTGGGACAGCTGCTGAGGGCAGGGAACGTGTCCTCCCTCCCACTTTCCATCGGTGGGGAAGTCAGTTGCATTTTTTTCCTTGGATGTCATAATGGGATTTGTGTTTCCTGGATCCTTCTCCTCTGCTGGTCAATGGGATTCTCCCACGGATGCTCCCGGGGTGGTTCCCTGAACCTTCCCCCTTTCCAGCCTTCCCTGGGGCTGTGGGGCTGCGGCACAAGGAGCTCCGTGACTGCTGACAGTGCCCTGAAAACATTGACGGTGTTTCCATGCCAACTGCCCGAGGTTTGAACCCTCCCCGGCTTGGCAGGGTCACTCCCGTTGTCTCCAGCTTTCCCACCTCCCACTTCCCCCTCTCCGCGTTCCTGGGCTCGGCTTTGCCTGTCCCCACACCCGAGCTCTGTCCCCGGGGCTGTCCCCGGGGCTGGGTGGGGGGGCTGCAGTGGAAGGAATGAATCGCGGTGTCGGTCCTGCCCTGCTTTTGGTGGTGTCACTCGTCAAGAATTCGGGGATGAAACCAGGTGACAAAGGAGGATTTGTGATAAGGATCGGGCTGAGTCATGACCGAGATTGCAGGGGATGACACAGCTCTGGGCAAGGCCGTGTGTGTTATGAAAGGCCCGTGGGGAGCTCGTGGCTGCCGTGGGGGTGGCAGGGGTGACACGTGTGACCTGTGCCCAGAGGGACCTGCTGGGCTGGCTGGGGGTGGCACTGTGGGCTGTGTGTGGCACCCTGTGCCTGGGGACAGGTCAGCTCCCCCGGCTCAGAGGCTGGGTTTGGATGCTGATGTGGGTGGCAGCGAGGGATGAGGTCGCTGGTGGTGCCTGGGCACGGTGCTGGGGGGGTTGTCAGGACACAGACTGTTCTGGACAGCAGGGTGAAGGCGTCTCGGAGGGTGGGAGGAAGGAACAGCTTGAGCATGCGGTGATTTGGGAGCTGGGCAGGGCAGGAGCTGCTCCTTGAGGGGACACTGAAGTGCCAGCTGCCCGAGGGGTCGTGTGGGAGCAGCCAGACCACCCAACCTTCCCCTGTGGGCACAAACACCGCTCACCAGGGCGGCCCGAGCCTGGCTGGGCTGTGAACACCCTGGCAGGGTCCCCAGCTGTGTCTGCTTCAACCTGTGCCTTGTACAGGTGATGTCTGGGGCTGTCCAGCTCCTGGACAACCTGCTCCACCTGCAGCAGGATGCAGGGGGTGTAGAGGGGATGGAGGGGATGAGGGAGCCATGGGAAGGATGCAGTGAGGTGTTGGTGGCAGCAGGATGCAGGAGCTCAGCTGGGTGCTCTCCCAGCAGCTTCCACAGGGTTTCTGTGGCTCTCCCACAGCTCAGTGAAGCTTTGCTTTTCTCAGACTGGAAAAAAACCTTTCAGCTGTGCTGGGAGAGGTGAAGTGAGGCAAGGCCAGGGAACACTGTGCCCCAGTGGCACAGCAGGTGGGCACAGGCTGATCCAGGGTTTCCTTGTGCTGGGGGGGGATTTGGCACCGCTGGGACCTCGTGATGGGCTGAGTCGTGGTGGGCCTTCAACAGAGCATGAAATACCACAGGCTCCTGCTCTCTGCTACCAAACCCCTGCACAGCCTGGGGGCTGAGATCTTTGTATTTTGTAATGTGGAAATCTGAGGTTCTCACACAGTAATGAGCTGGGAATGGGGTGACAGATGTAGGAGCATCTCTGGCTGCCCCCCGGTCCCTCCATCCCCACGGGGTCAGTGCCTTGATGACATCACAGCAACCCAACACATCCTCTGCACCAATATTTAATTTTCTCTTCTGGCTCCCAAGTCTGTTTTTATGAGGATCTTTTCCCATAGACCCAACAACAAATGTCAGGTTGACCTAAGGGTTGTTCCTGCCTCAGTTGTCTCCGGGCTCCCTTTTCTCTGACCAGCAGGGTACAAGTTGTTTCGAGCATAATTGGACTGTTATAAATCATCTTCTGCCTCTCTCCCCTTCCACAAGGAACATTCCCATGTGCTGATCCACAGTTGGGGTGGTTTTGTCTGTCAGCCTCTGTGCAGTCCTGCCTCTCTGCAGCTGAGCAGCACAGGGCAGCTCACCCAGACCCACCCAGAGCTCTCTCCAGCTCCACAGGAACAGGATTCACTCGTCCAGCCAAACACTGCAGCTGCTCTGGGATGGGCTGCTGGTGGGATGCAGGGTCAGGTTGGTGGGATGACCCAGAGAAGCTGTGGCTGCCCCATCCCTGGGAGTGTCCCAGGCCAGGCAGGACAGGGCTTGGAGCAACCTGGGCTAGTGGAAGATGTCCCTGTCCGTGGCAGGGGGTGGCACTGGGTGGTTTTTAAGGTCTCTCCAACCCAAACCTTGCCATGATTCCATGCAGACAGAGGATGGACCTGCTGTCCAGCTCTGAGCCCAGCTCATGGACCAGCCCCAAGAGTGATTGTGTTTTTTAGTCCATCCCAGTCAAAGGTGGGGAAGTTCATGACCGTCCCCATCTCTGCTCTCCACCAGAGCAGGTTGCTCCAAGCCCCATCCAGCCTGGCTGGTTCTCACTGCTGCTTTACAGCCAGGTGTTTATTGGAAACCACCCCGCACACCTTCGTGCCAGGTCACGGGAAGGACGGGGTAAGGAAACCCTGCAGTAAACACCACCATGGGATCAGATTCCTGGTTGTTTCCCATGAACTCAGGGTGTGCACAGTCAGCCCCAAGGGCTCTGCCTTTCCCTCAGCACTGGGGCCAAACACAAACTGAGCCTCTTCCAGACAATCTGAGCCGGGATCTGCTGAGCTCGGAACGTCTCCTGCTGACAGACACCTTCCAGGTGCTTCTGTCTCATTCCTGCCCACCTCCAGAGCATCAGGCATGTGAGGCAGGTTTTAGGGCTGTTTGATAAAACCATGGGAGTGTTTCTAGGAGTGCAGGTTGGTCCCATGTTCTGGAGGCCACCGTAGTGCACAAAGATGGATAACCACTGCGAGCAGCAAAGCAGGGAAATGAGGAGTGTTGGTTTGCAGTCAAAGCACTCCGTGTGTCCTGGGCAGTTCCTGGCACCAGTTGACCACGAAGCACAGGAAGGGTGTGGAGCTACTGGAATGAGTCCAGAGCAGGCCATGGAGATGCTCCCAGGGCTGGAGCCCCTCTGCTCTGGAGCCAGGCTGGGAGAGCTGGGGGGGCTCACCTGGAGAAGAGAAGGATCCAGGGAGACCTGAGAGCCCCTTGCAGGGCCTAAAGGAAGGCAGGATTAGATGGGATATAGGGAAGGAATCGTTCCCTGGGAGGGTGGGCAGGCCCTGGCACAGGTTTTGCCCAGAGAAGCTGTGGCTGCCCCAGCCCTGGGAGTGCCCAAGGCCAGGTTGGAGCAACCTGGGCTAGTGGAAGGTGTCCCTGCCCATGGCAGGGGATAGAATGGGATGAGCTTTAAGGTCCCTCCAACCCAAACCATTCCATGATCTGGGACTCCATGAACTCCACCTTCCTCAGCCACGCTCCGTGGCTGCCCTGGGTGCTGGAGGTGCTCCAGGGGGACACTGGGAATTCCTCCTATCGACCCCCTCCCGTGCAGAACTTCCTCGGGAATGGCCTGTGATGGAGGAGGTTCCATTCAGTGCCTGAGCTGTGCAATGTTCTGCAGAAGCCC